TAATCTTGTTCCAAGAACTGTTCTAATTGCTTTCACCTATTTATTTATGGCTATAAAATGGTTGTAGTAGAACAGACCTCACATCCGTGATCCTGAAAACAGCAAAACCCCCCACAAAACAGTGGGGTGCCAGTGGGAGAGAAACTAAAGAGGCAATAGACAGGCTCTCTTCTATCTATATCCATATCCATATCCATATCCATATCCATATCCATATTCATATATCTATATATCTATATCTATATCTATGTGTAAATGTGTGTATATAATATTTGTGTATGCAAATTAACCATTATATTACAATATTTATGTTTATATTGTATATAAATATTATATATATTATTTATATTATATATAAATAGTATATATATATATATTATTTATATTATATATAAATATTTCCAGAAACCCATCCAAAAGTAGACTGCTTGATTCCATTGAACAAAAGTGTGTCACGTGGCCACCCTCAGCTGGAAGGAGGCCAAGGGAAAGGGGACCATGAATGGTGGTTGAGTCAGATAATGAGCAGGTGCTTCCACCCGGGTTAAGTCTTTTTGAGTCCATCATGTCATCCGATCCTTTCTGCAGCCTCTGCACTAGATACCAAAGGAAACTGAAGAGCTGAGTTTTAAATAACTAGTCATTTAGCTCTTACTTTCCAAAGCTGAGATGTGAATTCACCTACGTTGACCTCCGAAACATGCCTCCGTGCTTGTCACTACTATGCAGGGCTACCTCCCTGGCTCGGTTTGAATGTCACTCCCTCCCTCTCTGAAACGTGATAACCAAGATGTGCTGGTCACCTTGAAATAGGAGCCAGAGTAGAATTACCCAGCGGTAAGCCCAGGGCTTGTTCTTTTCCTGTGATGGTTTTCCATGAATTTGCTGGAGCCACCAAAGGTCTGATGAGGTGAATGCTCAGTGCCACGTGACCAGGCATAAGCTCAGGCTGGCCTCGGAATGAAGGGCACTGTTCCTGCCACTGCTGAGCGAGGCACAGATTCTCGGGATGGGAAGTCATGCTCTGGAAATAGGTCAGATCACTTCAGCAGGGCGCTGCACGTACCAGGTCCCAGCTCAATGACGAGGGGATGCTCTGCCATCGGTTGTCTCATGTGACCTCCTGTGCGTGGCTTGAGCACTCAGAAAAACCACGTCACTGTAGGACGGAGATCTTTCCAGATGAGAGAGATCTGCCGGACGATTCCTGCAGGATTTGTCCGGAAAAAGGCAAAAGGAGACTACAGTGACTCTGCCTAAAATATCTGCCATTGCCCTAGAACTGTGTCTGCCCGTGGGGAGGCAGCAGAGCACAGGCCTACGTCCTGGCTGCTGTGTCTTTGGATTCCAGTCCCCATCCCCCATGCACCAGCTGGGCCACCTAAACTCTCTAAAGTCATGTGGTTATTTTGAGAATTAAATAAGGTGATATCTTGAAAGCACTCAGCACGGTGGTCAGCAGGCATGGAGGCAAGAATCAATAAATGTTGGCTGCAAGTCATTATTATCACTGTTGTTGTTGGTTACATTATTACTGTTCAGAATAGGTCTGGAGTGTTTTACCATGTGAAGGACAAAACCCTGGAAAGGTTCCCAGATATTTCCAAGGTAACTTGAGGTCCGTGCGTGTGGTTTACAGAGGTCAGGCATCTGAAGCGGCACGTCAGCAACTGAAAGCTAAAGCTGGACATGTGTTTGTAGAGTAGACTGCTAGACCTATGAGCACCCATCCAGAATCTAAGAATCTTTTAAAAATCAATCATCTCTGCACTAAGAAGACCCAGTAGCGGAGATACACTTAGAGTGAGGTGCTAGGATCTCAAAAAGCAACCCTGGGTCAGTCCTATTTTCTTCTTGGATAAAGCCCCTCCTTAGATGAATAACAGAATTCATCACTCAGGTTTTTGAACACTTACTCTGTGCCTTGCTGACATTCTAACCTACATGTAAGCCTCACCGTTCATTGGGGTAGGTTCTGCTTTCATCCACATGGTAAAGTTAAAGAGATGGAGGTCCAAAGAGGTTGAACTTGCCCTGGAGTACAAAGCCTATAAGGAGTCCAGTCCGGCTCTGGACTGAGCAGGAGGGATGTAAATGTGGCCCTTTGCTCGGAGGTATTGTTTTCTGGAGGCAGAAAAGCACACCTGCAGGAGCTGCTCCTTCCCATCCCTCTCCTCTTGGCTCTATTTCTCTTCAGCCATGTTGAACTCTTACCCTTTCCTGGGACACATCAAGCTTATTCCCACCCCTGAGTCTTCGCATGCTCTGCTCCAGGGTCCCTCAGAGGGTGCAGTGACTCCCAACAGGATATCATTTGTCGTAGAATCCAACCTTTAAAAATATAACAAAGACAAGACCTAAAATCTTTGTGGAAAATAATACAATGTGCTTGTTTCTAAATGAATGAATTTCCAGTTCTCCCCACCACCTCCATCTCCCAAAGGAAGATGGAACTCATCCATCTGCATCCTTCAGGTTAATTCTTTCATTCTGGTTTGCCCAGGACTGTTTCCATTTTTGCCCATTTCCCTGGTATCATCATTAGGAGCACCCTCTTTCACTCTCAGATGGGTCTCAGTTTAGGAAATAGTTATATGGTCACCCTGTTTATAGTGGGAATTTCTGCCCCAGTATCAGTTTCCAAGTAGGCTGTCTCACTTAGTTGTAGTTTTTGTTTTGTTTTGTTTTGTTTTCTTCTAGACATCAGGCAGGGAAAAGAAGAAAGAAAAAAAAAATCTATATCTATATCTATATCTATATCTATATCTATATCTATATCTATATCTATATCTATACACACACACATACATACACACTTGTATCTGAATCCAGGGTTCTCAAAGTCTAGTTGGCCCCATCCTTAAATGATTAGGAAACATTTCCAGCTCTAAACATTTTCAGCTCTACAATCCTCCCAAGCCACAATGAGTTACTCTCAACACTTCTATCAGTTTCTGCCTTTACCATGAAGGTAATATTGTGAACTCAATTTTACACATTTATTTTATTCAATTTCCCATTCATACATATATTGATTGTTTCCGCTTATATAAGGAAATAAGATTGAGGGCTAGGTTTTCTTCCTTTTATTGCTTATGGTGTATAATGTATAATACAAAACTAGAGATACGATAAACATTGATAGAACAAACAAAATACAGGAAGCAGAGAGATGAAAGATGAATGGAATATAGACACAAAGAAGAAAGGAAGGAGGAGAAAGGGGAAGGGAGGGATAGGAAGGAAATGTAAATTCCATATATATATATATTTCCCAAAACACCAAGAACACTAAAGGGAAACCAGCTGGTCCCTTAAAACAATGACTTGTCTTTATTCAATGCAAACAGATTCATTCTTCCCTTGACCAGTCTCTCTGTTACTGTGAACAACAAGCCTTTCTAGACTGAAGAGTTCCAGGCAGGCTGACCTATAATTGGATTCATCTCATACTAGCTACTTGAGAGAAGCAAGGTGCCTTTCTATTTGGACAATAAGTTTGAGTTGCAAATAAATAGGAATGAGGGCTTATTGGGTGAAGAGTGTTGCTTCCATGATGGTCTCAGGTTAAGCATCTTCTTTTAAAAAAATAGATAGCATCCTTTCTCAAATGTTGATTATTAATATTTACTACAGGTTCTGTTTTAAACTAAAAGAAACAAAATTTTATCATGTTAATCTATTTCTCTGCACTATGTAATAAGTAAAGTAAGATTTAAGGAAGTCATCTATCTTTTTTACCCTTCAACAATTAATGAAATAACTTCCTCATGTAACTCTGATTTTATTTATTCCTTCATACATACATAATTTGCATTTGTTACTTAGTGAGTGATGAGGATATGCAAATGCTAGTATATAATAATTGCTAAAGTATATAAGAAGACAAAATTTAACACGCCTTTATGATTGAAGGACCCACAAATGGGAATGGAAGTTACTTTCTCAACCTGAAAAACAGCACTGAGAACAACTCACAACTCACATCGGATGCAATGGGGAAAGAATGCATTCATTCCCATAGTTCAGAAAGAAGACACAGATATCTTGTCCCATCACTTCTATTGAACATTGTGCTACCAGTTCCCATCACAGCAATTAGGCCAAAAAACAAACAAACAACAAACAAAACAGCGAAATAAAGAGAATCCAGATGAGAAAGTAAGAAGTAAAATTATCTCATTTGCAGATGACCATCTTGTATATAAAAACTCCCAAGGAATCTACTGAAAATGCTTAGAACTAATGAGTTCAGTAAGGTTTTAAGATATAAGACCAACATACAACTGTCAATTGTATTTGTAATAATGATCCAAAAATATAATTGGCAAAATAAATCCATTGAAATTAGTTAATTAAAAGTTAACTAATTTTTAATTTTGATTAAAAATAATTGATTAAAAATAATCAAATACAAAGAATTGAATCTAACAACATAAGTCCAGACCTTGTACTCTAAAAGCTACAAAAATATTGTTGAAAGAAATGATAAAAACCGTAAATAATTAGAAAGGTATCCAAAACCTTACCTGCAATGCATTTTCTATAAGCTTGTCCATTATAAGTAACCCACAAATTGTACAGGATTGTTTAACAAATGGGTTCCACTGTATTCCAATAATCTCCTGGTCATTAATGGGATATTTTGTCATACACACAACACACACACACACACACACACACACACACACACACAGACAGACATGGTAAACTTGGCAACAAGTTTAAATTGAACAAAATCACAAATCTAAAAATTATTCTCCGCAATGTGAGTATGAGGTGTGCAGCCTCTGTTGGGAAGAACTCTGAACATTTATTTGGCTGTCAACAGAGGGGAGAATGAATGTGAACATTGGCCAGTCTACTGGTCTCCTCAACAGGCCAATACTCTTTCAGTGAATCCCACAAAAGGAATGCATAGGTGATTAAACACCAGGCTTCTCACATATAGGCTCCTTCTAGTGTGATGATTTTCCCAGAAGCCTTATAAAACGTTTTTGAATCACTTCTTCCATTTTTCAGGTGATACGGTATATCCTCCAGTTGAATACGGTAATGGTAACTCTTGTCCCCTAAGCCAAAGGGTTGGGTATCCAGATGATTCTAGAAGGAGAAGAAAGCCAAGATATTATTGAATGCACCACTTTTAATGAAGGAAATACCTTGGAAAGAATTATGGTCAATTACTTTAGAGAGAGCAGGTAGAACTTGGCCAGTGCACCAAGGCAAAGAAAAGTTGCTGAGACAGGAGGAGATAAATCTAAGAATCTGGGAAGAGGTGTCCTGATGAAGTTAAGAACAATTTAATGAGTACAGTGTTTAGAAAGAGTGACATAACTGTGTCACAGATGATGGGACAGTTGTGCAATAAGTTACCAAACCTCTCTTATGGTGGTTGAATAGGCATATTTAAACAATCAACTGCCTCTTCTGTGCATTTGGTCTGCTGACTTCAGTTTCCTATATAGTTTTTCAGTTCTGGCCCATTTACAAATGTACAGAAACATCTGCAAACTATGCAACTACAAAGGGACATATAATTCTGGGGCAATAAAAAGATGAAATTCCTTTTGAACACTGATGGGTTTTTTAAAATATAACTCCAAGAAAAGATGATGCAAGAATACTAATGTATTTAAAAAAAAAAAAAAGAATACAAGTAATGTTTTTTTTTTAATGTCCAATATGTTTCATTTCTTTAATTGTTTCAGCACGCTGTAATGTATGGGATAAGATCATTTCATATATATTTTGAAAGGTTTTTGTATTTTAAATCATATGTTTACATAGCAAAATTACATCATTTTGCTGTTTATTTTAAAATTAGATTTCAAGTGGAGAGAGTTGAGCTTATTAGCCCAAGCATAATGGTATTATCTCTCCCTGCAGGTGGCAGTGGAGCTTAATTCACCTGTTTCCCCAATTCTCTGGTGCTCAGTCCCATTCTGTAGTATAGGTCCCTAATATAGGGTGTCCAATATATGCCCTTAAATATTATTATAGCATGTTCTTATAAAATTTCTGGTATTGTTTTAATTACATGATATTATATTGTAATATGAACTCATCTTCTTTATGGGACCCAGCACTCTTTTGGGTGGAATCTGCTGATGTGGTTGTAAACATCTAACTTGTGTTTCTTACTGATGCTCAATGTTTTGGTGAGCATTTCTTGCTTATTTCTTTTCTTGGGGGTTAACCTTAATTGCCTGTAGTTTTCTGCCACCAAAAATAACATTCTGAAAAACAACCTTGTACTGGTCCCTTATGAACATACACACACACACACACACACACACACACACAACACAACACTCAATTGGACTGGCTAGATCATAGGGAAGAATAAAATTTTTGTTGAATATTATCTAATTGCTTTTCAGAATGGTTCAGTTTTCTCTTCAGTTGTGGACAAAAATTCATGCCCTCTCAAAGTCTTGACAGCACTTGGTTGTCCCACATGCCTGTTTTGTTGCCATTCTAATGACCAGAAAGCAGCATCTGATTGTTGTAGTGTTTAGTCCTGCTGTTTCTAATGAGCTCACCCACATTTTTATGGACACACTGGTCTTCATTTTCTGTGGATTACCTGGTCACAATGCCCATTTTCCTACTAGTTTCCTGCTTCAGCCTGTTAATTTGAAGTTAAAGTATATTTTGGAAATCAGTCCCTTAATTGCAAACATTAAATATATCTTCTCCCAACATGTCACTTACTGTTAACATTATCCAAGGTATCCTACCCAAATATGGATCCAGATATGTGAGTAATCGTTCCAGTCTATGGTTTGTGTATTGGAGTCTTGTTTAATTCTATTTTTACCACCTTCAAGTCATTAGTATATCCTTATAAAAGGTCTTCCAGTAGATATATAGGTTTACCTTTATTCAACAATAGCCGATACTTAGAGATGTTTACAATTTTCTAGATTATTTCACATATCCTCACATATTTAGATTTTCAGATGAACCTCCCAAAAATGAGATAGCTATTTTGATCCCCATTTTACAGGAGGAAATTGAAGCACCAAGAAATTAAATAACTTACCCTAAACAATACAGCCTAGAAGTGAAAGATTCTAGGTTTGAACCCATACTATCTGTACCTCACAATCCATTCTTCTGTATTTAGGTATTTTATTCCTGTGGATTATACCTTTTTAAATTAACAATCTTTCCTTTCTTCCTTATTTTCTTTCTCTTTTCCTCCCTCATTCATCCCTCCCTCTGTCCTTCCATTTCTTCCTTCTTTCTTTCTTTTTATAAAAATTTAAGCCCCTACCATGTAACAGATACAAATTATTAGCTGTGAGCACACAGTTTTTATTTAAGCTGTATATCCAGATGAGATTCTCCAAGAGAGCAAGTCAAGGAATGCCAAATCCTGAGCCTTGGGACACTCAACAGTAAAATGGAGCCCAAGAAGCAAAACCAGAAGAACGGGCTGAGAAAGAGCAACACGTAATGGAGCAAGAGAACCAAGAGTCTTTCGTTTCCCAGAAGCCAGGTGAAGAAAGTGCTTCAACTAAGGGATCAACTAAGTCTGTTGCTGCAGAGGATTCTAGAAGAATTCTCAGAACTAGTTTCTGGGTACAGCACTCAGGCCCTTACAAGAGCAGTTTCAATGGAGGGGTGGGGACAAAGGTGGTGGCCTTAGGGGAGAATGGGGAGCAGAGTTGAGGTCGGGCAGCAGGGACAATGCTCTTTTCAGGAGCTCCATTGCAAGAGAAAGTCACGGAATGGGATGGTAGCAGAAAAAGGAAGTGACATCAAGAAAGAGCTGTGAAAATTTCTCTGGTTAATTATTATACTATACTTATCATTGTGCCATAGGGTATTGACCATTCCCATTCATGACAGTGTGCTTTGTTTATACGTTTTTTGCCACTACCAACAATGCTGTAATTGAGATACTTAATACATATCTACTTATAGAATGTAGATTGTTTTCACCATCTTCCAGTCATCTCAATATGTATACATATGCACTTTTAGATAGTGGTGTTTTGTTGTTCTATGGGTAGATTCACAAGGGTGAGATTGTTGAATAGAATTGCATATATACATGTATGTTTTATATTTAATCCATATCCACCTACTAATACATATTTATTAATAAAATGCTTATGTAATTTACATTGAAATTTACATTAACTTACATTTATAGCAGCAATGTTTGAGTATATCTTTTTCTGAAATCCACACTGGCAAATAAAACACATCCCTGGATTGTGATTTTTTAAAAAAATATGTACTCTTACTGAGGAGAGAGAGAGAGAGAAAGAGAGAGAGAGAAACATCAATATGAGAGAGAAACATAGATTGGCTGCCTTCTGTACCCCCCCTACTGGGGATCCAACCAGGATGCTGAATTGTGATATTTTGCTGCCATGTGTCAGAGTCATAATCAAGAAAACTTACCAGTATTTTATTTGATCTTCAAAATAGGTCTCTGATTCTTCCAATTCTGTGATTTCCAGTTTGCTGAGGTGGAGAGGTAAAGATTCTCACACAAGTTCACCCACCTTCAAACTCAGATCATCATCTCATTCTTAGATTCCTTCTCCTTCTATTTTCAACTGCCTTTGGTCCCTGGTTCTATTCACAGATTCTTGTCAGTATCTCTGACTCAGAAAAGAGAACATTCTTTTGGGTTGGACTGGTGTCTGTGTTTCTCTCCATGTAAGGGCCTGGCTGCATAGCCTGCTACCTACCCTCCTTCCCCCAGCTCTAGGCCCCCTTGGCCCTGAGTGTCTTCTCACTCTGAGGCCCCACAGAATCTCAGTACATATTACAAATTCCTCCAGCAAAACGAATCCACTGGCAGACACCCAGGAACACACAGTCACACATGCGGCTCCCCCAGCCGGCTGGACTGTATCCAACTGTGGTCATAGGTAGCCGCAGAGACAGGCATAAACGCAGGTCCTGGAGACTGGACCAAAGGCATGGCGGGTCGAGTGGGTGGAACCACAGGCATGCTGCAAGGATGCCAACCAGTGACCTCTACGCAAGCCGTGCCAAGGAAAACAGAGCATCATAAGCAAAAGGATCCTTTGACTTCTCTTCCCTATCTTCTTCTTTCTCAGAAATGCATGGCTGATATTCCACCAGTCTAAGGTTTTTAATCATCAGATAACACTAATAATTAGAGCTATCATTTATTATGGAAGCCAGAAAATAGTACATTATAGGCATTCCACATGTATTAGCTTTCAGCTTCAGGAACCCATGAAAGATAGGTTAGATTATTTCTGATTCAGAAATATTGACATATTCAGGATGGCATGCTCATAAGTGGCAGGATCAGAATTGAGACTCAGACTTTCTTGATGTAAATGCTCCTGGGCTTTCTGCTTAAACACATCCCTATCTACAGTAATGTTAGTAATAAAGAATATTTGTAAGTACTTAATATGCATTGGGCATAATGTCCAATGGTTTACATAAATTGTCTCAGTTATCCTGATAATAATCTTAACTTCATCAACTCTTTCCTCCTCTGTGATTTAAAAACAATAATTATTAAACACATGAGAGCTGTCTTAGATACTGAAGCAACTTCCCCAAGGTCCGAGGACTAGTAAGACCTAGAGATGGTATTGGAAATGAGATACATGTGACTATGGGCCCCTTGCTCTTGGCTCTTGTCTCCCCAAAACGTAGATCGCCTCCTTCATCTCTGGCTCATCCTTTTCCTGGGGATAAATCTGCATATATTCTTTAGTAGCAATTGAAAGTAATGTGTTTCTCAAGGCGATATTTAAAGTCCAACAGGAGCTTGACTGATCAAATGAATCAGTATGGTTTTTCTTTCAGAGAACACTTATGAAGATTTATCTTCACAGCTACAAATTCAAAAGCTTCTTGACTATGATGTCAGCTTATTATTGATGCATAATTGCAGTGTTTCTAAGAGTCAACAGAAAACAATCCTGACCTTTTCTGTTGGAATTGAAAGGTCACCAGGACTTTGCTTATTTATTTATTTATTTATTTATTTATAATTTGTCAATTGCAGTTGATATTCAGTATTATTTTATATTACTTTCAGGTATACAGCATGGTGGTTAGACATTTATATAGTTTATCACTGAACAGATGGAAAGTCAAAGGTGTTAACACCTGGATGTGGTGATTAAATCGTGAGCTCTAGAATCGCTCAGACATGGGGTAGACAAACTGGGATTTGAGCAACATACTTAACCTTTCTCAATGTCAAGTTCCTTATCTATAGAGTGAGAATTAAAATAGTAACCCACTTCACAGCATTGCTGTAAGAATTGATAGATAATGCCTGTGCTTAACACATTGCCTGGCCCCACCATTCGCCCTGTAACGGTGGCTTTCAATGCATATCACAACCAACCTGTTGGGCACACCAAGAAAATGAATGTACCACGTGTTTTCTCAATGACTTTCAAGATACTTGCTTCTCATTCAGAATTTTATTCTCAGTAGAACATTCTTACCTTTCTGTTCTTATATTTCTAAATAGTCTTCTATTTCTATATTCAAGAGAAATTCGAGGAAAAAGATGTACTGCAACCATATGTATGTTAGGAGGGATTTCTTAACTTTCCTACATTCATTTAAAGTGCTGTGAAACTCTTTTGAAAAATAGAAGTAACTTTGTCCTCCTACTCACTTCCTTCTTAATGCCTTACTTTTAAATCTCAAGTTTGAATGTAATTTAACATAATTATTAATGTAATCCCAACAACACACAGGTCATTGGAAACCAGCCCACTAAATCGTTTTGTCTCACCCCCACCTTCAGAACAGAATAAACCATTAAACAGAGCAGTTTTTAAACAGTCATGCACTGTGGTTTTCTTACATCTTTCTCCAAAGCTTTAGAAAATTACTATTAGTGTCATTCAAGTTAGGAAATTTAGTCATATTTTCTAAACCGTATGGATATGCCCCGGAATGGAAAAGGACAGAGAATAAGTAAGTCTTCAACAGCTGGGAGAGGTTTTGTGGATTTCATAGTGGTTGGGAACTACTAACAAGGAAATATTACACATGGCCTTTGGCAGGAACATATTATAAAATCCAGAGCCTTTTGTATGGGCTGAGTAGGGTATTATTCATAATTGTTATTTGATTTGGTCTTCTTCCCGTCTTCTTCTTAACAGAAGCTTTCCTGCCTTGAAAAAATTACACCATTTAAAGGTGCCCTATGTCTCTGATTATAAGCTACATAACCTGGCAAATGTTCCTGAGAGGAGGAGGGGAGCTCACGAGGCCAGTAAAATTTACAGTAGCAGATGGCATTCATTCTCACCAACGAACGGCGCCAGTATTTTACAAAGGTAAAAGGGGATCTACCCGATCTTGAGCAATGCCAGGAAATGTCTGTCATTCCCAGAATATCTCATTCATTCAACTGACATTCATTAATCCCCTGAGCATCCTGATAACTCCAGGAAAGCATCCAAACTCATCCGTGCCTGGCTCCTGCTCCATCTCACACTGCTGGTTGCCCCTATGAACCCTCACCTCCAGCGTTTACAACTCAAATGTGTGCAGCTTCTGCCGGTGACCAGTGACCCCAAGCAGCTGATGACATGCCAGTGTATTGATGCACTCATTTTAATCACACATGCTTTAGGCTGGTGACCCTAAGGGAGTTATTTGGCTGCTCAGTGACACTAGCTGGCTGCTCAGCATCTGCCTTTAAAAAAATATATATACTTTATTGATTTTTTTACAGAGAGGAAGGGAAAGGGATAGAGAGTTGAAGACATCAATGAGAGAAGCATCAATCAGCTGCTTCCTGCACACTCTTCTGCTGGGGATGAGCCCATAACCAAGTTATATGCCCTTGACCTGAATCGAACCCAGGACCCTTCAGTCCCCAGGCCAATGCTAGCACCCTATTGGCCAAACCAAGTGGCATATGTGTTATAGAAAGGCAGATGCTGCCTTTCTATAACACATTGCCATTTCTCTATCTATTCCTTGGTGTACTCGGAGTGGGCTGTATCAGTTAATGCCACAAAAATGCTGTTTTACAAATACCCACAAATCCCAATGGCCCACGACCATGGGCGTTTATTTTGCCCTGTATGGGTGGGTACCCAGGCTTGGGAATGAGCATTGGTTGACTTCACCTGGGCTTGCCTACAAATCTGTGCTCAGTGGTGGATTCCTGGCAGCACTGTTGCTCTGGTGTAGGCTCATTTATAAAGCTGGGATCGACATGATCTCAGCTAGTCTGGTGTGGCCTCGGTCGGGACAGCCAAGTCAGCTGGTTCTGCTCCTCTTATCCTTCACCCTCCTGCAGGCCAAGCCAGGTGTTCTCAGAGCAAGGGCAGTGCTTCAAGAGCCACCAAGCACAGCCAATTAAGCAATTTCAAAGTGCACTTGTGTCAGACATGCTAGCACCCTATTGGCCAAACCAAGTGGCATGGTCATTCCCACAGATTAAGTTAGAGAGACTGCAAGGGTAAGGGTATGGAAGGAGGGGAGAACTGGGGTCATGTTTGCGTTCAATCCACCCTCATGGAAACAATGGATTCCAGAGTGGTGTTTCAGAAGACCTCCCTTCTATTCCACTTGGATTCTTGGAAAAGTTTATACAGTTTATCCTCCATGCCATGGCACTGGTAACTGTTCCCTCACTCTTCCCTTATCACTGCCCCTCCCAGTGAGGTACAGGCATGAGACAAATAAAACACAGTCTCTGGCTTTAGGAAGAATACAATTTATCAGGGAAGCACACTTACTTAAGGATTGAGCTGGATAATGCAAATGAAGACTAACATAATGCTTGACCCACGGTAAGAAGATAGAGAAGATTATGCTGAGGTACATTCCATTCCTCTAACACATTTTTACCTGCAGTTGCAGCAGACAATTCTCTGCATCTGACAAATTCCTACTTCAAGTACCCTCAGCTCTCTGCTGTTCCATCTGAAGACTTTCTCCCATATCCATGGGAGTCTGTGCCTGTGCACACAGAGGAAGCCCCCAAGTATTGCGAATGTAATGCCCCAAGAGAAAAGGCCCAGCCAGTGAGGCAGGTGTCAGCGGACATGCTCCCGCTTCCCCTCCTTGTTGTGATAATTCAAGTTGTGTCTGCAGAGTTCCTCAGCGAGAGTCGGGCAGCGGCCCCATGAATACTCTCTGTTTCCCCAACTTGTTTCCTCTCATCACTGCGTGGGCGCCCATAATAAGCTACCTGCTCCCAAGTCCTCATCACAGGACCTACTTTGGGGAGAACAGAGAAAGGGCAATAATGGTAATTAGCTAGAATGACTGTAAAGCCCAATGTGCAAAAGCAGAGAAATTCTTTAGAAGAATAGAATGGAGGAAGGGGCTGAACCTTCTATATTGCTTTGTTTAAACTCTAGGACCTACCTTTCACAGGTGAGTTTCACACACCCCGATAGATAAAGTCACTGCCTGAGATGTTCCTCTGGTTACCTGTTTCCACAGGATTGAGGGGAGGCGGGAGGTGGAGGAAAAGACACAAAAGCCTCCTTTGAGCAGTAGTCTGAGCAATCGCCTTTGTGGTATGATAGAGGTTCCTATTTATCAATGTCTACAGTTTCTTCAATAGGAATCCATCTCTTCAGATAAGCATTGCTCCTCCTTTGTGAGTGGTTTTTATGAAGTTCAGCTACAGAGAAAACAAACAGCAGTGTAGGATTGTGGGGCAGGAGTCTTCGAGAACAGAACGACCCAGAGTCAAATC